ACATACATATTCTTCTTCTAGGGTTAAATTGGAAAGCTCTTTCAGTGAGGCAGTTTGCTGCAGTGAAAATATATGACTTCACACTCTCATTCTGCCACTTAGCGGAAATGTGACATTGGCAAGTTACCTACGCTCTTGGAACCCTAGTTTTCTATCTGAATAAGGAGGGAAACAACAGCCAATTTGAGAGGATATTACGAAAATTAAATTAGATAATGTTCATGGAGCATCTGCTTTGGTGCTTGGCACAGTGGCACCAGATCCCCTCTGTAAGGTGCCCTGTCCCCTAAGGGAGCTCTAATGCTGGACGAAGTACTATGATCTTCACCACACTCGAAGCACTCAAGCATATTTCAAACTACGACCCTCCAGACTTCATTCAAAACCAAAATGGGAGACCGCTGTGAGCTTGGCATAGGTGATTCAAAGGTAAAGAAAAGACTTGGCATTTGTCCTTGATGAAAATTTTAGAGGGAAGATAGACAGATAACAGGAGAAATGGCATGAGGTTGTGAGCGATTGAATGAGATCCCTTTTCTTGCTCTTGTCTACAATTGGAGCTGATCTGGTAATGGCCCAAAGGGCTATATGAAGTCAGAGAAAGGCCGATGATAACTGGGGACCCAGGAGGAAGTCATCACTGACTGGGATACTGCAAGGCCCTGGAGAGTGCCTGTGTGCACTTGGGTGAGGGCTTTGCAGAGGAATAATGAAGGGCAGGAGCATCTAGGCAGAGGAACCAGCATGAGCAAAAGTAAAAGCACAAAGACCAACTGATGAGGGGCACAGGTAGGCCCTGCAACTCAAGAGGTCTATTGTGCCTGTATTATGACACACTAAAGGAATACACGAGATGGATTTTGTGCCACAGCTGATGGGGCAGCCAGCACTGGCTTGGAGATCTAAGTGGCCTAGGGTAATTAGATCATATTGGCTCCTGTTCAGTGGGCACCTGCTACATACCAGGAACTGTGCTTTGTTGTTTTATGGATCTTCTTTTCTAGCCTTCACAACAAATCAAACATAACTTTTCAGGGAAGGATCTAAGGCTCAGAGAGATCAAGTAAGTCGCTGCTCAAGATTACACATTCCTAAATGGAGCAAAGGAAAGAAAAGGAAGAATAGGATTTTTAAAATATGAATTTCAGACTAAACCATTAAAGAATGGGAATAATGAAATTTGAGTGTAAATTAGGAAGTTGATTTAGACGGTCATGTTTTAAAAGAAAAGGAGAATAGGAACACTGAAAGAGGGAACTTGTGGTTCAAAGTGAGGCCATTCAAGATTAGGGTGAGATCTCTTAATACAGGCACGTTTTGAAATGATGTAAGGTTTTTAATAATAAAAAGTGTTGCTTCTGTGTTTGAAAGTTACTTCACAGTTATATTTCACGAGAGAGAGTGAGCGTAATAATTAAGTGGGCAGGGTCTGAAGCCAGACTGTCTAGATTTGAATTTTTGCCCCCAACTTAACCTCAGCAGATGATTTAACTACCCTGGGCCCTAATTTCCTTATCTTTAAATAAGGAGATATAATGTTACCTATGTCATAGGATTGTTTAAGCATGATATGAGGTATATGTCTATACAGAATAGTGTTTGGCATAAAGTAAGAACTCAGTAAGCATTAGCTTATCATTGCTTTGGGCCTTAGTCTTTATTCACCAACCATTTATTTAGAAATTATCTACAGTGAACCAAGGACTGGGCCAGTTTCCAGGAACCCCAAGACAGATTACAGATGATTTCTGCCTTTAAACACATTTGATTTTTTCCAATATCATACTTTGTGGCTCAGCAGAAATACTACTGATGATCTCTTATTTAAAGCACTTTCCTGCACTATTTGGGCACCAGTGATTTAAAATCTCCATTCACAGTGTTGCTCATTAGTGTAAGGAATAATACCTGTGTTCCTCCTGCCCTTCCGCCAATATGGCATTAAGATCTGTTCAGCCTGAGCTATCTTTTATGACATGTTTCTCTTGACCCACCAGGCAACATCATGAAGTTAGTGAGATTAGTTCGGTAGCCCTCTCCTACTTATGTGTACCAAATCCTCAGAAGCTGAGTGTTTGCACCACTCCTTCAGGAGTCTCTGGCTTGCTAATTCATTAAACTTATGTGTGATGTAGTATGTACTATTAATGGATGCATTTCTTTCCCTGAGAGTATTTTTTTTAAATATGTGTCATTTCCAGAAGCTGGAGAGAAATGTTAATGATTGGAATTTTCAGTGCCATACCAAACCTTAGGAAGGTTTGTTCTGAGAACATCAGTTATTCACTGCATCTTAAACCACACCATAAAGCTATCCATCCCTGTGTCTCTCCATTTTGGGTTATCAAAGGATCCAAGTAGTTCTGCTTGCGATGGCATTTTCACATTGTCTGAACAGATACTCAATTAGGCACTGCAGGTTTAACATTAACATTGCTTGAACAGATGAAAATTGTTGGTAGGAGGGACAGACGCTATGTCCTTTTGAATGTACCCACAATACATTAAAATGGACAGATGAACAGTCACGATAACCTCCAAGAAAAGATTGAAAAGGCAAATGTCTATATAAATAAATGAGAAGGAAATGCAAAAAGCAAGGTTTACGCATTTAAAATAACCAAGTGAAGTGATTTTGTGAAAAGCCACTTTAATATCAAGGAAGCCCTTTACAGTGGGATTGTTGAGACAGTGGTGACTTGTTTACCTGCCCAAAAAAGACAGACACAAAGTGGCATCTGATCACTTAGCTTTCTAATAGAGCCAGGATTTATTATAGGAAATGCGAGCTGATCAGATCATAAGGCATCTTCAAGTAGCAAACAACCGTTACTGAAAGAGAGAGGTCAGATCCGTAATCAAATAGAGCTGAAGCTCTGACTTAAATGTGAATGCAGGAATGGGACTGAGGCCCTAAGAAGCAGTTCTCATCTGTACTTAGTGAAATGAATTTAAAAACTAAAAATCATATTTGGTACATATCTGAGAATTTTAAAAAGATTTTATTTATTTATTTCAGAGAGAGAGAGAGAGAGAGAGAGAGAGAGTGCACACAAGCGGGGCGAGGCACAGAGGGAAAGAGAGAAGCAGACTTCCTGCTGAGCAGGAAGCCCAACTCCATCTCAGTGTCCTGGGATCATGACTTGAGCCAAAGGCAGCTGCTTAACTGACTGAGCCACCCAGGTATCCCCATATCTGAGAATTCAAAAATCTTCTATTACTTTGATATGCAAAATAAGAATATGACAATGATTTTGTTAGCAGGAACAAATTAATGCTACAACATTGTACAGCTTAGAATATGACTTTCAATATATTAAGTTAAATTTTTTTGAGTGTAGAAAAATCCAACCTTACATTTAACTTGAAAAGTACTTCCTGAGAATCTTTTTCCTTGGGAGAAGCAAGTAGTCCCCGTTCATTTTTAATTCTAATACTTTTGGGAGAAATTAATGAAGGACTGGCTGGTCAATTAGAATCTAACCAAGAAAAGAGAAAACACTCTAAATATTTAAAACAGATGGAATTTAATCTAGAGAAAGGGTTACACGGACGGTGGAAGAACTGTGAGCTAACCATGGGATCAACTGGGAGATCAGCGGAGGCAGGAAGCCAAAGGCATTACCACCCACAGGGCTCAAGGGAGAAAGGGAAGAGGTGATATTACTGTAGCTCAGAGTTCAAGGTCACTGGGGGAAGCTGAGACAATGGGGTGAGTCTTGGTGGGAGGAAATACTGCCCATAGGGGTCAGTCCCCATGGAACCAATAGAGTAGGAGCAGAGTAAGGAACGGACAAGAAGGTAAAAACTGGCATAGACCAGCAGAACTGGAAAACAGCATTCAGTAAATATATTTCTCATTTTCATTTTCTCCTCCAGAGTGTTACACTAGGCAAATTGATTGATTGATAATTTTAAAGGGCTCTAAGCTTAGCACCTGGCAACTGTGTTCCACAGACATCTTGTAAATAAATGAAATCACCATTTTAGTTCCATATATAACCTCAATAAACCAAATTTACACACCCCAAAGATTATGAGGGAATGAGCACCTTCACTTTGAAGTCAATAAAAAGTATAAAGGAAGCAGCGGCGTCTTCCAGATGAGATTAAAGAAAGTGGTCAATGCTCTGTCAGTTGCATTGTTCTATTCAGAATTGTGAACAGAAGTTTATTCTGACGTTCTGGAAATGACCATTCTTCAGAGTAGATCATACAATCACACTTTGCAAACTAGACTCTGGAGGAGGTGGAAAGCCACACAACTTCCTGAAGACGATCACCACTCAATTCCTCCATTCCTTTCCATTCTGCTGAGAAATGACAATGGCAGACTGCCGACTAATAGTAAAGCGCCAATTTGCAGGCTTATGTCTTTTGTAGCATGGCAGGGTATTTATGGATGATAATGTAAAAAATATTTATCCATCCATTTTATGGTCAAACAAAACCAGGCTTAATGTATGTGAGCCCATGTGTGTGCTTAATCATATACGGCAGTTTAAAAACCACACCTAACCTAAACTATGTCCTACTTGAATTTAAGCAGCTTAAAATCACCCCATGGGCAGCCTCTGAAATATTACCGTTGTATCGCACACACAGACTTGTTAATGATTAGACTGTCACTACCACCATCAAATTTTCCTCTAGTAGTTTTGCCTCATTCTGGCTTATTACTCTGATACTAAATACTTCCATATATTTAAAAAATTAGATGACCTTTAGAACTGAATGAAGTATTCCAGCATTTGCTTAATGGGAGCCAGGAAGAATGTCAGGGTATCTGTATCTCATACCTCATACCTCAGGTGATTTCTGACAACAACAACAAAACCACGAAAGGCACAGAAACTGTCTTTCACTGCGTGGCCCCTTGCCACAAGTACAGAACACTGATAACATTTAACCCCATTTTCTTTTCGTGTAAAGGAGAGAAGCACTTTTAAGGGGAATTAGTGAAATGTCCATCTTAAATTCTTTGTTTCAGATACACCTACCTAAAATTCAGTGAAGAAACAGCATGAACTTTCCAAAACCATCTATTTCCTCTTCTTTGAAATGGCGGTTGACTATGGCATCTAAAGATTTCCCAAGCACTTCATCCAGGGATTGGTAAATCTTATTTATCTGCAATGAGAAAATATACTTTTATTTAGCTAAGCAACTTACACTTACATGTTTATTACAGATCTAGGACATACGGTATTTTACAAATCCCCTCATACACTAATAAGGGTCTGTAATACTCGACTCAGAAACTTGGTTTTCATTTACCATAAGAAATACTTAGAAAAATGGACATTTGTGCCAGAAGTCACCTTACAGATGAGGAAGGTGAGGCCCAGGGGGACTGTCCAAGATTAAGCAGCTGGTTAATAACAGACAGTGGCCTTGGACCTTGGGGTCCTGACATACCTCTTTAGTTTTATTTGATTAAAACCCCCCAAAGGGGGAAAATATGGAATTTTCTGTTTCCCAAGTAGGTAATTTTCTGGAATATTGTGTCACCATAATTTCTACCAAAGTCAAGGAAATTACAGCTGAGGTCAGAGTCCTCAGACCAGCATTTCCTTTAATGATTTAAACCCGAGCAATCCTAAGTAGGTATCCTACAAGAGTCCACTACCACAAAGGCAACCTGACATTATTTAATGATGCGTATGATTTATTACATTATGTAGTAATAACGTAAATAATAAATAGTTCATAAAATTGCCTGTTAATGTTTCTTAACAAAGCTGAATGATTTTCTAATCTTTTGCCTTCGGGGCAAACTCACAGAGAAGAAGTGGAAGAGAGAGGTTCGAGACGGCACTTCCCAGCAGATTCCCCAGTGGTGACCCAGGTACCCGCTCACCGTCTGCCACCAGCTCTTCTTTCCCACCAGTCTCTCTCACCCTTCCCTTGCCCCTTCTTCTCCTTACCAACCATTTAGGCTGTATGTTATTACCCCAGGTGCTGGCGAGCTTGAAGCTGCAGGGAGTTGAGGCTCGGGAAATCCCGTGTTAAGATGAAGGAAGAGAGTGGGAAGGGATCAGAGCAGATGAAGGAGAGAAGGCGTCTGATGGCAGTGGGGGTGGAAAAGGAAGGGATGACAGGAGCCTAGCTCTGCACCCAGGATGGGAGAAAGGTGCCCCCTGTCTCCAGCCCTGTGCCTCCACTTCCCTCCCTACTGACTTCTTCAACCCCGGTTCTTGATGAGGATGAGGATTACAGTAACTATTTGAGCTCTCATGGCTTCTGGCATCCTGTGATTTTAGGTTCCTAGAGAAAATTCTATACAGTAACTCCCCCTTGCTCTAATCTAAGTTTTCAGATATATTCATTATTGGAGGAGATTATTTCACAGGAGATAAAGACATTTTCACGACATAAGGAACCCTTGTTCTGTGCCACATCAGAACCCAGCCTTCTTTCCCCATACTTAGATTCTAGGTACAGACATGGATTTGGCATTCTTTGAATTAAATGTATTATTACAACAGTAGTACTTTCAAACATTTTTTTGTTTTCTTAAAGTACATGTTACTCTTTTTTTTAAATTGGGGGTTCAGGTAAATTAGAGCCATGCATCTGGGAATAAGTTATATATCAAAAATATTCTCTCTCCCTCATGGAGGCAGCTCTCTGAGCCCCAACATCAGGAAATAAAATGGAAATCTTACACAATCTTATATACTTTTCTTTAAGACTATATAATGTCTATCACACACATAAGGAAACTGCCATCTAGCTTTACCTACAATAGAGAGTCACTCAAGATATCCTTTGGTATTGGCCTGGAGACTTCTTAGGATCATGCTGCTGGTTTTTGCTCTTCTACCTGGCAACTTGGGGAAAGATGTTTTGCATTTTTGTTTTTTGTCTAGGTCCCTGGGTTATCTCAGGCCGTAAGAGGCTAGGAGGGAGACAATGCTCAGATGGAGATGCTGTGTTAAAATACCCCATGGGTGGCTCAGGTTGCACGCCTTACCTGAGATCTATGACTTCAGTAAAAGTTGCAACTTGAATGATACCTTGCTTGTAAGCTAGCTTTCTTGCTTGCTATTCCTTCTCCACCTAGGAGTGGTCCTGTTTCAGCTTGTATGTCACAGGCGGTGATCAAAAGTGGATGTTGAATCTGGAGGCAGCTCTCTCCCTATCCTTCTTGGCTTCTATCCCTCATGACTACTCCAGAGTATGCAGAAACTGAATATCTATATTTCTTTCTACTCTGAGCCACAGGGTGACGGTCTCCCCAAGTGCCACTGAATTAAAGGCATCCATCCTACTCTCTCCTCTTGCTGCAGCCCATTGGATACTTGCAAAGCAAAAGTTTCCCATGAACAATGGGTGGGAATAAAAAACAATACCTTTCTCTCTTAGAAGTCTTATTTAAATTCTATATCAACTACCAGATTCTTGTTTGAATAACTTGTGACTAGAAATTAAAATTTAGTGTCATGAGGTAAAATAAAGTACACTTTTTTTCTAGCTCCCTGAAAAGCATTCAGTCACTGTCTGGTTGAAGGTAGGAGTCAATATCTTACCACAAGAGAAAGGAGTATTTTGCTAATTTGGGGTGCCATATTTTAGATGTACAGGTTGAGCAGAAGTGGCAGGAGGCAGATTTTTGCTTAATAAAATAAACCCCTCAACACAGAGCACACAAAATGGGCCACCTAAAAAGATAGTAATTTTCAAACTAAGGGTATTAACTTAACTGAAGGCTCAACAATCACTTAATTGTTGTGGTGGGATTTGGTCAAGCACATGCATTCATTACACAAGGATGGCGGAGTGGTCACTCCAACTAAGAGTATGTGGGAGCCAGCTGGATATTAGACTGGGGTGGAGTTAATAATCACATTTTTATCCATATTTATGCCCTTACTGATCTTCCCATCTAAAATAGCACTCCCTCCTCATGCTCTACTGCTCACTCTGATATATTCTCCTGCACAGCACTTCCATTATTTATTATTTATTCATTGTTCATCACTTCACATTAGAATATAAGCTCCACAAAGGCAGGAATTTTGTTCACTACTATATCCCTGATGCTTAGAACACTGCCTGATGCAGAGTAGGCCTGCAGTACTATTTATGGCATGAATAATACATATAAATTTACATTTCTCTTTTCTTATAAATATTTGATCCAATTTCCTCTTTCTTACCCCTATCAGTTTGCACCATGCTGAAAATAGTTTTGTCACAGTCGGAAGAATTCAAAGGCCCTTATTCACATTGAAAAATAAAGAAACCAAGTAGGCATTTTATCTATTTTCATTGTTATGAAGGAAAAAGATAGTCTACGGGTTAAAAGGAGGGTTGAAGATGGTGCTCTCCAGTACTTATGCTGTAGTCTTCTTTTTTAGTTATGCTTGGGAGACTATTGTGCCATGATTCTAATTTACTAGATTTCAGAAGTGGGTAGTGAGCCCACTTTCAGATCCCTTTCAGATCATAGGAGGCTGGTTCCATGTTATGAGAAACAGCTATAGATGATGATGATGACCATAGACTTACAAGAAATATTCCAGAGAAATGCCAAAGATGGAGAGCCACACTGCATTCAGAGACATATGAAACTTCGTCTTTTCTGGTGTTTGACATTGTCAGTTGGCATAAATTGTAGGGGCTATTAAAGGATTTTGGCTAAGAATGATGAAAGTCGCTTGAGAAACAATATCTACTTGTCCAAATAATTTCTCAACAACTGACATAGGTTCTGTGACTCTTTGTTGTCATATTCACAAATGGCATGCTAGGGTCTCATGCCAGTGCTGAGGCTGAGCTCAGGGTCCTGGCCAACCCTCTTCTGTGGACACAGCATCAGTCAGATCCTCAACAACAAAGAAGCTAGAAGGGGAAGAAAAACAATCCTGAAAAGTTCCTGCAGCATCTTCTGGTGCTGTAGATAGGGGACGGAACTATGATCAGAAGTTGGGGTTTTATTTTTGTCTCTATACTAACTGGGTTTCAGTTTTCTCATAGTAAACTGAGAGTGTTGGTCTAGACGGATGGTTCTCAACCCCCGGGGTGACTCTGAGCCACCCCAGAGACATTTGGTAATGTCTGGAGGTATTTTTAGTTGTGGAGGGAAGGTAGGTGCAATCGGCATCTAGCAGGTAGGGGCCAGGGATGCTGCTGAATGTCCTACAATGTACAGCACAGCCCCCAACAGAAAATAATTATCCAGCCCCAAATGACAGTCATGCCATTTAGAACCATCTGAACCCGGATGTAGATGGTTCAAGTCCCTCTCCATTCCCAACACCATTCTATAATTTTACCACTGGTCTCATCTAGACCTCTGAAGTTGCACAAGGTAAGCCTAATTCCCCTTCCGAAGCTTCCTCCAACTCTACATACCACATCGAGCTCCTTCCTATACCCCCCAGCTCTGTTCTTAGATGCCTTCCACCCCCAGGGACCTTGATGGTTCCACACCAGGCTTTGAGATCCTTCCTTATAGCCCGTGTCACCATGTAAAATTGCCAGGGATTTTCTGATCTCCCTGTAAGAACATGTGCAACCAGAGGGTAAGGACTGTCTTGTTTATTTCTTCATCATCTTGAGCACATCATCTTTCATGGTGGATGATCCTCCTCATTAGATGTTTGTTTGAGTAAATGACTGCTGATGGAACAATTAGTGAGCACGAAGCTCAGCATTTTCTCACTCGGTACCTACATGGGCCTGTGATATAAACCTATTCAGATCATCTTACCCCAGATTATTATTTATTGGCTTAAGAATGTCAAAGTGCCTTAGGAAGCTACAGTAAGATGGATGTGGGGTAGACACAGACACAAATCGGACTAAATTGGACTAAATTGAGAATCACCCCAGACACAACAATAGTAGGGCAGAGTTAGGGAGAAGACTTCTGGGAAAGAGGCCTTTCTGGATGGCTTTAAAGGTGGGGACAGAATAGTGCTCAGGGGCACTTGGGCACCCTCTCTATTCTAAGGATTTGTTCTTGTTGACACAGAGTTCAGCTTGAGAACCAGGCAGGTCTTGGCTGTTTGTACATATTTCCTATTAAGGGCATAAAAGACTGTTGCTTTGAGCTCTTAGGATGAAGAGGCTGTGGCTCTGGGACAATAGAGCTGTTCAGATCCAGTGTGGCCCTACCACAG